TCCATACTAAAATGGGCGGTATGCGGACGTGCATTATCCTGTTGGAAGTGCTGAAGTTGTGGGTGTGCTCGAAACATCGGAACAACAATTGGTTGCAAGACATCATCACGGTAGGCTACAGCATTAACACGACCCCTGCAAATCTGTAGGGCGGACCCATGATGAAATGTGAAGCCTCCCCACACCATTTCACTTCGCCCACCCCATCGATTCGTTTCGAAGACGCAGCAGTCTGCAAGACGTTCCCCAAGACGTCTCCACACACGTTGACGGCCATCAGCGTGATAAAGATGAAAGCGACTCTCATCACTGAAGAGCACACTTTGCCAGTCTACTCTTCTCCATGTCTGGTGTCCTTGAGCCCATATCAAACGCCGCTGACGGTGATGATCCCTGAGGATAGCTCCAACATAAGGTCGTCGTGCACAGAATCCTACTTCTCTTAGACGACGTCTTACTGTGTTGGCACTTATTGGTCCTTGTCTTCCGACGACTGCTGCACCTGTTCGAGTCGCTGAGCGGAATCTGTCACGCAGATGAGTGACCCGGATGTAGTGGTCTTGAGCCTGGGTTGTAACGCATTGTGGACCAGGACGTTGACGGTCACGTGTTGATCCAGTAACTTGAACACATTCCACCAACCTTACAATTAGTGCTGATATCAAGTATCGATGCTGACGCCGATTCAATTCTCTGTACTTTTTTGTATTATCGATGCATCGCCAAAAAAACCTCATAATTAGCTTTATGTGTCCAAGGACTCCGAGGAGTTCACAAGTTCGTCCACTAGATTAAAAAAACACCTTTTAAATACGTTTTCTGCGTGTTTTATATAATTCAAAATAAAACAATGGAACAATTCAGTGAATCCCGCACAAATTATTAGGCTTGACCCGTTTACCCTACGCTTCCGTTATGTTTGTCTCCATTTTCCAGTGACTACAAAGACTGCGTTTGCTGGTTACGTCCCCTGGCTATCATGTCCTTTAACCCCAAGGTCAATTTCACGGTTCATTTAAATGACCAAACGAACTGTCAGAAGGATAATATTTCGTGGCCGGTTCTTAACGCTAGTTTTAAAACGATTCAGTCTTATTTTCTGCCACGAGCAATAGAGAATTCATAAACCCCTAACAGGCTTTGATACGATCCGTATAAATAATGCAAACGCTGTCTCTTGTAATAACCTCACCCCTCACGCCTTCACAACAAATTTGAACAATGGCTAACGAGTGTCAATTGAAGTGAATCGGATGATATTAATGACATAATAAATAACAGAAGAATATTGTGGAAATAAATTTATTCAAATAAATCGACATTTCTATAGTTGGCCTAATGATAATGTTAGGTAAATTCATGTTTCTATCAGAAATACTAATGTTATTTCTGTAATTTTTGCTTAACAAAATGGCGGCAAAAAAATTCCCAATGCATCGATACGAGAATCGTTGTTTGCGTCCGATGCATCGATGCGTAAAATTTTACTTGATATCAGCACTTCTTACAATAGTGGACTGATGACAATTGAAGTGTCTGGCAATAGCACGTGTAGACATGCCAGCCCTGGACATTCCCATGGCTTCATTCCGTTGATTTTCAGTAAGTCTCGGCATCACTAGCTCGATTCCTTCACACGTCCAACAACAAATTACGACAGATTGACGTTTCACAGTTCATGTACTGCACATTAAGTTGAAAACATGCTTTTTTTTTTTAGAGGGCTCACACACAATGCTGCACGTGAATATTGGGTTTTTCATGTACATCTCGTGCAATTTTTTTTTTTGCACACGGGCAGAGTTTTTTTGCATTTGGGAGCATTGTGTGAAACAATAGTTCATAGTATTGCATAATGTTATACATACAAAACCACCTAGTAATAAAATATTTGGGAAAAAAAGGTGATGCGTTTTCCATGGCGCTCAGTATATTTTTTAAATTAGTAAAACGAACAAGCCTATTGAGTTTCAGCAAATTTCAGTTAATTACAGCTAGAGTTATGGCCCTTGTTTCACTTTGTTGAATCTTGTGAACGCTGAAAAAGTTATCACCTAATCTGTATTAAATTCATATGCATCATTTAAATTAGTGAAATAAAGAATCCTATTGAAAGTCAGCAATTTCTGTCAATTACTTCTAGAGTTATGGCCCTTGTTTTACTTTGTAGAACCTTGTGAACCCTCAAACGACGAAAATTATAATGTCATCTGTATGAAATTGTCCAATAAATCCCCCTAATTACCTACAAAAGAATAAATATGCGACAACCCTTGTCGACCGCTCGGACGGTTTAGCTGCTGTGGGCGTATGTTTTGTTGCCCGGCAACCTATCTTGATTACATGTATTATCTTTTTTTTTTAAAACGAAACAAAACATCAAATAATCACCGCTTGGATTAATCGTTAAGAGTAAATAATGACTTGAGATATGGTTTAAATATATATCATTGGCAATTATCAATCAACTAATCATTAATTCAGAAGACAACTGATTAGTATTACTCACTGACGCGATCCGGATTATTGGCACTTGATTGACACTCAATAATGATTAATCCAGGATAAATACCATTAGAATTTTAAGATTTTTCCGCCAGTTCTCAAAAAGAATCGCCAGTATTACAAAACATTATCGCAAAAATCAAATTTTAATCGCCACTTTCATATTTTTATCGCAAATTGTGACTTTGGCGACCGACAGTCTGAGCCCTGCATGGAACAAGATAAATTAAATTGATATGTTTCGGCATCACAAATAATGTTAAAATTAACTGAAAAATCTTGTGGATGCTCTAGAGGCTAAATTTAATATCCGATTGACTTGAAATTTGTAGACAGTGTTTAAGGTCATGAGACAAAGAAGTCTATTGATTTTCAATGATTTCCAATAACTACTGCCAGAGTTGTGGCCCTTGATGATTTTTTATACGCCCACATTGAAATGTGGACGTATATTGCCGTCGCCCCGTCTGTCTGTCTGTCCGTCCGTCCATCGTCCACAATTTCTTGTGAATGCTCTAACGGCAAAAGTTATCATCCAATTGTTTTAAAATTGATATATGTTGTTTACATTAGTGAGATGAAGAAGCCTATTTAATTTCAATAATTTCCGTTTATTACGTCTAGAGTTATGGCCTTGTTTCACTTTGTTGAACCATGTGAACGCTCTAATGCCAAAAGTTAACATACGATCTTTGTGAAATTTATATGCAATATTTAAGTTAGTGAAACGAAGAAGCCTATTGAATTTCAACAATTTCTGTTTCTTACGTCTAGAGTTATGGCCCTTGTTTCACTTAATTGAACCTTTTGAACCCTCTAACTCCAAAAGTTATCATCCAATCTTTCTGAAATTTACATGCATTATTTAAATTAGTGAAACGAAGAATCCTAGTGAATTTCAGCAATTTCCGTTTATTACGTCTTAGAGTTATGGCCCTTGTTTCACTTTATTGAACCTTGTGAACGCTCTAACGGCAAAAGTTATCATCCGATCTTTCTGAAATTGATATGCATTATTTAGATTAGTGAAACGAAGAAGCCTATTGAATTTCGGCAATTTCCGTTTATTACGTATCGAGTTATGGCCCTTGTTTCACTTTATTGATCCTTGTGAACGCTCTCACGTCAAAAGTTATCATCCGATCTTTATGAAATTTATATGCATTATTTAAATTGCTGAAACGAATTTCAGCAATTCCCGTTTATTACGTCTAGAGTTATGGCCCTTGTTTCACTTTATTGATCCTTGTGAACGCTCTAACGTCAAAAGTTATCATCCGATCTTTCTGAAATTTATATGCATTATGTAGGTTACTGAAACGAAGAAGCCTATTGAATTTCAGCAATTTCCGTTTATTACGTCTAGAGTTATGGCCCTTGTTTCACTTTATTGATCCTTGTGAAGGCTCTAACTTCAAAAGTTATCATTCGATCTTTCTGAAAATTGTATGCATTATTTAAATTAGTGAGACGAAGAATCCTAATGAAATTCAGCAATTTCCGTTTATTACGTTTACAGTTATGGCCCTTGTTTCACTTTATTGAACCTTGTGAAGGCTCTAACTCCAAAAGTTATCATCCGATCTTTCTAAAATTTACATGCATTATTTAGATTAGTGAAACGGAGAAGCCTATTGAATTTCAGCAATTTCCGTTTATTACTCTAGAGTTATGGCCCTTGTTTCACTTTACTGATCCTTGTGAATGCTCTAACGCAAAAAGTTATCACCCACCCGATCTTTGTGAAATTTATATGCATGATTTAAATTAGTGAAACGAAAAAGCCTATTGAATTTCAGCAATTTACAATAATTCTAGAGTTATTGCCCTTGTTTCACTTTGTTAATCCTGGTTAATGCTCGATTGATGATAGTTATCATCCAATATGTATGAAATTTATATGCATCATTTATATTTGTGAAACAGGTCTATTGAATTTCAGCAATTTCCGTCAATAATTTCTAGAGTTATGGCGATTGTGAACGTTTGAATGACAAAAATGATCTTGTGATCTGTATGAAATTTATATGCATTATTTAAATTAGTAAAACGAAAAAGCCTGTCAAATTTCTGTAGATTACTTCCAGAGTTGTTTTAGTTTGTAGAACCTTGTAAACCATCAAACGACAAAATTTATAATCTAATCTGTATGGAACTGTCTTGTAAAGGCCCCCAATTACCTACAAAGGAATAAATATGCGACAACCCTTGACGACTGCTCGGATGATTTAGCTGCTGTGGGCGTATGTTTTGTTGCCTGGCAACCTATCTTGAAAAATCTTTTGGATGCTGTAGAGGCTAAAGTTAATATCAGATTGACTTGAAATTTATACACAGTGTTTGAGATCATGATTTTCAACAATTTCCGATAATTACTACCAGGGTTTGATAACTTGAACAGCTTAATCCATGATATTAAATGTTTTGTATCCTAAACGTTAGCATGGGGCAATTCGTACTGTATCCATATTGTTATGAAATTAAATTTATTACAGGATAGGATTGGTCGACCATCCGAGACGGGCATTATTGGTATAATAGATCCACTGTGTCGAGTGATTGGTTTACATTTATATGATGGTCTCTTCAAAGTTATTCCCCTTGATAGAGAGAACAAGGAACTGAAGGCATTTAATGTCAGGTAAAAAAAAAAAAATATACGCTCACATGGAAATGTTATATTTTGTTGTTCACAATTTCTTGTGAACATAAAAAGTTACTATACAATCTGTATGGAAATGTGGAGGTATATTGCCATCGCCGCCATCCGTCCACAATTTCTTGTGAACGCTTTAACGCCAAAAGTTGTCATTTAATTGTTTTAAAATTGATATATGTTGTTTACATTAGTGAGATGAAGAAACCTATTTAATTTGATTAACTTCTGTTAATTTCTTCTAGAGTTATGGCCTTTGTTTCACTTTGTTGAACCTTGTGAACGCTCTAATGCCAAAAGTTAACATCCGTCTATCGGTCCGTCGTCGTTCACAATTTCTTGTGAACACTCTACAGACTACATTTATCTATCATCTGATTGTTTTGAAATTGATATATATTGTTTGCATTAGTGAGATGAAGAAGCCTATTTAATTTCAATAACTTCCATTAATTTCTTCTGGAGTTATGGCCCTTGTTTCACTTTGTTGCACCTTGTGAACGCTCCAACGACAAAAGTTATCAACCGATCTGTATGAAATTTATATGCATCATTTAAATTAGTAAAACAAAGAATCCTATTGAATTTCATCAATTTCTGTTAATTACATCTAGAGTTATGGTAGGTGTCACAGCTCCATTGCCCGCGTTGGAAGAAAGTCATTTTTTCCTGATTTGTAACCCTTTTTCAACTTAACGTCATACGGTGGCTATTTAATATTTTGTAATAATTTTTAAATATTTTGGAAGCCGATATCCTGTTCTTTTGCTTGGTATAATTTTTATATATGTGTTCATTTTGTTAATTTCATAAACGTAAGTTGAAAAACGTCAATTTCCCGTGTTTTGACGTTACGTTGAATTTTTTTGTCACGTTTTGAAATGAGGGTACCCCACTTCAAGTGCTCGGCGGCGGTTCCTATTTTTAATATTATTTTTGCATTTTAATATCATTAGAAAGGTAATTGAAAGATCTTTCGATCGGTCGGGGGTGCTTTGTCGGCATTTCGAAATACCATGCCTTTTTTGTAAGTTGAACGCTTCAATTCACGTAATCTTTTTGTGAGGCGATTTGCCAATATAGCACCCCCGACCGATCGAAAGTTCGTTTTATTGTCGTTTCAATGCTATTAAAATCAATGAAATCGGAGCATTTAAAGAATCGCCGCCGAGCATTTGAAAATTGTATACAATGGGCAATTTTGTCAAAAATAAATCGCATAGTTTTGCCTTGTTATGACGTCATTTCTACACGAGAAGAAAAATCCATTCCAAGTTCCTGTGACTCATATTCGCCGTAAATTTAGCTCGAAATGCAACTCGATCTTTATTTATGAAGAAATCGTTATGTTATATGAATAAATGACTTGCCTGAAAATAAATAACGATAGTAATTCCATTTTATTCACACCTTTCGCAGGGCCGACTGTGTTTACATCACGTGACTCATCTTCGCGCGCTTTTATAACCATGTGACAGGACATAAAAAAATCGAAGGGAAATTTCATCCCAGCGAACACACGTCTCTACTTTTAACACCAAACATTTTTCAAGAATTGAAAAATTCCGTAACATTGACGAATGTTTCAATGCACTGAAATCATAAATTTGCTGTTCACTGAATTATTCAAGCCCTATTTTAAACCATTTCTGTGCACACGAATGGAAATGAAACCAGAAAATATCCACACGGGTCTCGTTGCCGACCGCAGTCGTGAGGAAGATAGTATAGTACTACTGATAATTAGTACATCGATTTCTACCCACTTAAAAAGGGAACTTTACCCAAATAAAGTTGGAATAACAAAAGAATTAACGCTAGCTGAAATAGTTTGAAAAATGGCTCAATTTCTGGATTTGCCGTTGGCGATTTACAACATTTCGTTTGAGATGATGGAACCGACATAGATTATGAATTTCAATTAGGTCAGTCATGTCGACAATATTACTAATAATTACTATCACTCAGTATCGATACGGATACCCAATTTTCCCAAAATGTTTTATTAAATAATTTAGCATTATACTAATTATTATAATTTTAATTCTTTGTTTTTTTAGGAAACTGTATTTAATACCTCGAGTATCACATATTATTTGTTGGCCAGTTAAACAAGTTAAAAGAACCGACAAACGTAAGGCCTTTAGGCCTTGATTTGATATTTATTTAGATCTACAATACATTGATTAAAATATACAAAAAAGGAAGTTGCTCAATAGGCTACATACCGATTTGAAGGAATAATAGAAATATTCAAAAGTGAAGTAAAAACAACAATTCTTTGAGTTAAATTGTAGCTTTTAGGCCTAGGCCTTTATAATGTAAACATGATTAGGCCTACCATAGCCTATCAGTAACTGAGTAACCTACTTTTACTTTTTAGTCTTTAGAGAATAATTTTTTATTGGTCAATGTTATCTTCTGAGTAGAAAATAATATGTAAAAGCAGAATTCTAACAATAGTGTAAGAAACGAATGATGAGAACAATGATAATGAAACAACAGTTGTCCGTTTTTTAAAATTATGTGGTTGCTATGACAACCATCCAAAATCCTTAATAATTCACGAAAATTATACAATTCTTAATATTTTATATTACATGCCATGGGCTATAAATATATGCTAAAATGCTTTCTGCTACTATACGTAAAATGTGGTGATCAATTGGTTTGTCAGGGTAAACACCATTGAAAATGGAATAACATTGCCTTTTTTGGGGTGTCTGTTTTCGTTTTGATTGCTATAACAACCAAATATTAAGTAACATACAAGAGTAAAGATAAGTAATTTTAAAAATTCACAAACATAAATACATGTAAACAAAATTTCTCTTCAAGATCTTAATTCCTTCATATTTTATTTATAATTATGTCTTAATAATGTCCAAAATAGACAATTAGCTGCTGCAGAATGTTCTTCAAGTTAAAAAGGGAACTCCTTTCCAGCTCTTGGGAGAAGACATATAAATATTCTGATTTTATTTATTTTTTAAAATCTTATCCAATAGCTTCTGTTTTTAAAATAATACAGTTATCAATATTGATGTCATGATTATTGGAAAATAATGGTTTTCGGAAAAAAAATAAATGTGGTTGCTATGGTAACCACTCAAACTCCTTAATATTTTGCTCAAACTTATACAATCCATATCATTTGATATTACATGGGTTTCAAATATTTTAAAATGCTTATTTTTAAAAGTGGTGATCACCTTTTGGGTTATGGTAAATAGCGTTGAAAATGGTCAAAAATTGCTATGACAACCAAAATCGATAATATATGGCAGATTGGAAATATGTAATTTTAAAAATTCACAAACTTTTTGACATATTCCCATAATTTCACTTCCCTATCTCCATTCCTTCTTATTTTACTAAGGTCACCAAAACGCCCCAAAAATAGGCAAATGTGTGCCGCGGACAATTGTTCAAAATTGAACACATATCCAGCCCGTGAGAGAAGGCATATAGATATTTTTACTATTTTTTTTTCTGTTAATCTTACTTGATAGATACGGATTTTAAAATGCATAACAACCAGGTTCAATATTTCAGATATAACATGCACAAGACCATTTTTGATGAAAAAATTGACCAAAATCGCTCTGAGAAAATGGAATTTTTGAGAAAACTTAGGTATTTTCCAGTTCCTGTGGAATTCGGTGTAATTATTACAAAAATGTGAAAATTGAAACATAATTAGCCTTGAAGTTGTATTTCATGAATTTACATCTACATTGTTGATAGTTTTGATATGAAATGAAATATGGCATCACAAATAACACCAAAAATGACTTTTTCAAAGTGTTGAAAAACCTTTCTTCCGCGAAAAGTCAAAAATCGCAACTTTGAACCTCAATAAAAAAAATATTTTTCATCCGATTTTGAATCTGTAAAAAGTTTTGTGAGAAGAATGATGAGATCTACATGAAAAGCTAATAAAAACATATGTATAATCATAATCTCAAAATCACCTTTTCCACCTAGTTATGGTCCTTGTTTCACTTTGTTGAATGTTGTGAACGCTCTAACGTCCAAAGTTATCATTCGATCTTTGTGAAATTTATATGCATTATTTAAATTAGTGAAATGAAGAAGCCTATTGAATTTCAGCAATTGATTTCCGTTAATTACGCCGTGAGTTATGGCCCTTGTTTCACTTTGTTGTACCTTGTGAATGCTCTGACGACAAAAGTTATTATCTGATATGTATGAAATGAATTTCAGCAATTTCCGTCAATTACTTCTAGAGTTATGGCCCTTGTTTTACTTTGTTGAACCTTGTGATTATTCGAACGACAAAAGTTATCATCTGATCTGTATGAAATTTATATGCATTATTTGAATTAGTAAAACCAAAAAGCCTGTTGAATTTCAACAATTTCTGTAGATTACTTCCAGTGTTATGGTCCTTGTTTTAGTTTTTATACGCCCACATTGAAATGTGGTCATATATTGTCGTCGCCCCGTCCGGCGTTTCAGCGTCCACAGCGTTTTCCGATAATTACTGCCAGGGTTATGGCCCTTGATCACTTTGAGAAATCTTGTGGACGCTCTAGAGGCTAAAGCCTTCCTCATGGAAGCCGTAAATTGACTTGAGGCCACAAAAAATGGAGTTTGTAGCCCAAACCGGAAGTACCTCCATCTTGAAATGTGAAAAATCCCTAAGGCTTTTTTGATATTTTACTTACAGACAAGGTAATTATATTTTCCGAATCCTTGAAGGAATCTCTAAACAATGTTCGACGCAGAATTTTGATTTAGGTCAACTGATGGACGCCATTTTGAATTGAAAATGAAAAACAGTGAAAAATCCACATTAACGGGCTTGAAAACATACACAATTGGTCGTGGTTTAGAGAATCTGTCCCCTATTACCGAAATTAATACATTTCAGGATAGCCTGGATCATGGTCGAATGTTTGGTATTTGAATATTTCAAAAATTTGAATTTCGCCTTTGATGTTTTCCGTGCCGACAAGGTT